CATGGCAGCAGCCCTGGGGATTGCCTGGGGCCCAGGTCTGTGTGGCACTTTCCATTGTGCTGTCTCGCCGGGAGCGTTGCGCTCTGGGAGACTGGACCTGGGCGACTCCTAGCATGGGATTATATAAGACAGAGGCAGCCGAGGAGCCGTAGCAGATACTCCCCCCGTTGTGTGGTGGTTTAGTGCCAGGGAAAGCCGACGGCTTTGTCTACACTGGCACTTTTGTGGCTCAGGAGTGTGAAGAGACATCTCCCTGCATGACAAGCGTCAGGGATGCAACGTGCCAGTGTGGACCGTGCTTCCTTGGCAGGAGCCGCTGGACGTGGCTCTGTCAGCAGAAGAGGGTGTGGCTGCAGGGGCCCGGCTCCGCCATTGCACGGCGCGCAGGGCAGGCACCGCCTAAGGACTTTGAACCGCTACTGAGGAGCCAAGCAAGTAACTAGCTGCCAGGACAGAGGGACCGAGCACACAAGCCCCAGTGTGAACAGCTGGGCACTCTCATGCACTTGTATGCACATCAGGGCACCTCCATGTGCTCACACACATGCACCACATACATACGCGTGCTGCACAGCCATCCAAACACATGTATGTAAACAATATGCCCCGTGTGCATGCGCTATGTTCATGTGCTGTGTGCTCTCTGCTGTGCCTGTGCTCGCTGGCAAGGGGCAGCTCCCCACTTTTCGATAATCCTAGACTCCTGGATCTACCACTGAGGGCCTGATCCTGTACTCCTTGCACACACAACGATTCCCACCGAGGGGCGTTGCCTCGCCGTGCCTCAGTTTCCCCCTCAGTAACGGGCCCACCGCTGACGCTGTCCGAAATGCAGAAGGACATTTGGATCCAGGTGTGGCACATCCTCTTTCCTCCCTGCCAGAGGCGACTTCTCTGAAATCCTCTATGCTGGGCGTTGGCCGGACTCTGCGCTTGCTGAACAGCCCGGCTGGGTGGCTTTCGTTCCTCCGAGGGAGGTGTGCCACTGGCACGCTGCTCCAGGCAGTGATTCAGCCCCTGGGTTAATCATTGACTCCTCCCTTCTCTCTTCTCCCTCCTCACGCCTGAGATCGCTTTGATTCCTGCCAGGGCAGCACTGCAGCCTGGGCTGCCCTGGGTTTGTTTCTGTCTGGCCCCACGGCACCTGCAGCATTCAAGGGCTTTGGAACCTTTGACTGACTTGCTGAAAAAGCAGCATCAAGGCACCGGGGCAGCGGTGCCTGAAAGCGAGGGGAGCCTGGGTGAGTTGGTTATTTCCGTCTGCTTGGCCCAGCGCTGGGCTTTGGGAGCGTCACACTAGCACCGGGCAGGGAATGGTGCCAGGACGCCTTGCAGTCACCTTGATCACAGGCAGGGACACGCTTGCTGCTCATGTGCCTGACCTAAGCGCTTCCCTGCACCTCCCACACTAACCCTCACCCTCCGGGTAGGAGCAGCGTCTGTTCTCTCGCTGTCTGTTCGGAGGGTGCCAAGCAGGGAGGGGGCTTTTGCTTCATGCCATGTGTGTTCTCCCCACCCCACATGCCCCATCTCAGTCCTGGGCACGAGGTTTGGCTTCCTTCTGGTGCCAGCCAAGGGGCTCTTGATTCAACATCTTCACTCAATGCTAACAAGCCAGAATTCCCTTCACAGGGGACACATCCCCTCCTAAGGCCAGGGGGGCTGAGCTCTGAGGGGAGTGGAGAGGATGAGGCACCTCACAGAATTGGGCCCCGCCCCGGCCCAGTGTGTGGCATGGCTGCTGGATATTAAACAGCTGCCCTGTAGGGCTGCCAGGGAGGGGGGGGTCACAGGCCAGAGACGGATCTGGCCACCCCCAAAGCCAAGCAACTGGCGTTAAGTCTCTGATTACTTCAGTGGTGTCTCCATCCACCCCACTCCTCCTGCACCCTCACCCAGATCCCCCGCTCAGGCCCTCAGTGCCCCCTGGAGCTGGTATCTACAAAGCAAGAAGAGGTGAGAGGTTTTTCCTGGCATCGAGTCCAGGGGAGTCACTGCTCTCCGACCCAGCCGCTCAGAGCAGGCGCAGGCTGTGACTCCTCCAAGCCCAGGAGAGACCGGACACAAGGGTCTCCTGAAAATAGCCTCGAGGGCGCCGCACTCACCCAGCACGAGCAGCAGGCAGTTCCTCTTCCTGCTCTTTGTTTTGTGCTGGAAAATTGCTGCTGCCGTTCTCGGTTTATTATTTATGAACGGATTGTCTGAGCGCTGGATCTCGCTGAGCAGCAGCAGCCCAGTCCACTCGCGCTATGGCCAAGGAAAGTACGTTTCCAGCACAGGATAGACTCCTTGAGCAAGCCAGGACCTCTGGGTTTTCTGCTCCCAGCTCTGCCGCCTCCTGAGACACATCTGGCAAGTTAAATCCCCCTCTCTGGGCCTCAGTTCCCGTCTTTTGAGGTCAATCACTTCCTCAAAGGGAGATTCAAGGCTGCTGCTGTTTGCAAGCTAGTGGAAGGTCTCTGCAGCCGAGGACAGTTATTTCAACAGGGTCACCAATGACTGACCTTCTCCATTCTCCTCCCTGGGTAACTCAGGTTCAGCCAACTGGCCTCTCTCCCTGCCTTGTAACCTGCTCTGTGCACATTGCTGAAGTGACGGCACTTCCCACTTTGCTTCTGATTTGATCACAAGGGATTGTTTCCCCGGCCCAGGCTGACGCAGATGTTTTTGCAGGATAAGGGTGGAAAATCACCTTCCAATAATATTTGCTAAGCAGATGGGGGG